GTAATCAAAAGGTTCATCAACGGACACAACGGTGCTGCTGCCACTTATTTGCTGTCATCATTAGTTTCACAAGTGTTGTACTTAGCCTAGTGCAAATAACATCTTACAAGTGGTTGTTGGTTTGGTTCGTAGTGATCAGTATGGCATAGGAAGGCAACGCGTCCTGCAAAAGAATCGTAGGGAAAGGGACAGCGATTAATCTACTCTAGAATGACGCTAATGCTTCGAAAACTTGATGGAAAAGGAACTGGCATCTTGATAGAAAGTTCAAAACAGGCAGATTCGCAGCCTTCTTGGCATTATCGAATCCTGCCACCGCAAGCTGTCATTCATCAGAACGGGTTGGAAAGGAAAGCGATTTGAATAAAGGAGTGATCAGACATCACTATGACCACAAAAGTTATTCTAATTAGTTAATACTGGAAATACCTTTTGGTGTGATTAAGCAAGTCGTCACTAGGACAAAACACCTTCCCAATGACTCCGAGTGGGGTCACTGCATGGGGCGCATACAAAAAACGGAATGGATCTGCGCCAAAAGCATCATTTTCAATTTAGCTTTTTCCACTCGACTGACGCGTACAGAAGTATTTTGAAGGTGTTTAAAGAAAAGTTTCTACGAATTGCAATGAGAAGACAGCTACTGCCTTTCAAAGAGTGGGAACTCGCATGTGAATTTCAATTTCCTCGACAATTTCTCGACGTCTCCCACTCTCGAGAATAGGCGTGCTTAGAAAAACGCTCAGCACAATTTAGAAACTAGAAGTCTGTGCATTCAAAAGCTGCCTTCACTTTCTGAAATGGTTATCAATGAAGAAAGTTATAGTCCTTTGAATAGGGGGTACATTTGACGATTTTTCCAACTAGCGCGCTCTAGGCACAGCGCGCGACGCGATCGCGGGTAGTTAGCGCCGCTATACTGGAGCGCGAGACTGTTCAACTGTGTAGGGGCAGTACCTCCTTCAATGTTCTACTTTCCGGCCAATGTGGCAAAGGTTAAATCTTTAAAGGAAAGAAGGAGAACCTAATCTGAGCAGAATTGAATCTAGCATTTGAAAGATATCAAAAAGTACAAAAGCCGCATTTGCGTGGCGCTAGCTCCCTCTCGCACATCTGAAACTAGCATTTTTTGATATAAAACCGGATGTGCAGAGGACAAAAAGGGGTCGTATCAGAGTTCATGTTTTGGAGGGGGGTCGTAAAGAGGCGGTTATTTCCTTATAACGGTGTAAAATGAAATGCAATCCT